ATTTCTGTCGTTAAGTTTTACCTTGCAAGTAAATAAAACCGAGTAATTATCATTCTGTGTTTTCTTCTTCAACTTATCACGGCAATAGTAACAACAATTATGTAAACATTGGCTGTCGCGGGCCAGATTGATGACAGTAAATCATTGGCTGTCGCGGGCCGGATTGATGACACTGGCGGGCCGGATTGATGACACTGGCGGGCCGGATTTGGCCCGCGGGCTGTAATGTGGAGACCTCTGCTCTAGATTGAAGCACGACACTGGGATGTCCTGTGCGCTTCGCTCAATGGATTGCTGGACTGCTTCTTGGAGTCGTGCTGTAGTGTCCTCTAGGTCGTCTTCGTTTTAATGAATCGCGTCTTGGATAATGCGTTAAAATTCACTCTCGGCCTCCCCGGCATCTATTCCTATAGTTCAATTCACATTCGCGATTTCTTTTATATTGTTCTTTATTGATAACGAGATTTTCTTTGTGATATAAAGAGCCCTATAGTTTCCTACATTGTCTTTGATACCTGATTAGATACTGATGTTACAACGTTATGTACCCTAAATTTTGCAGAATATTTGCTCTACCTATGTAATTACTCTACTGAAATTACATTCCAATGTAACCTACGAAGTCAAATGAAAAAATTGTTCTACATGTAATTTAGGCCAAAAATGGCGTTCTTTGTTAATAAATATAGCATGGGTGAAATTGCTGGTAACTCAATGTTAATAATCAAACAGTCCTCGTTTTACATACAAGTGAAGATAATCATACTTTGGGTTCTTCTGATTCCGGGATTGAAGATATTCAATTTTCTTTTTGGAAGAGATTCTTGAACAATAATGATATTGAAGAAGAAACTACATCCTATTTTAGCCTATTCCAACAAAATACCTAACGGAAGGTGGTTCTCGATGGGAGTACTCTTTGGTACTTCGTTGTATATGGTTTATATGTACATGAGGAGTCGAAAAAAACATGCTGTTTCATGTATATTTCCGATTGCCATTATTTATTCAACACCGATTGTAGATTTGATCAATATTCGTTTCGTTCACCGTATTATTATTTGTTTTTCTTAGTGTACCTGATATTGGCTTACTCTTAACATTTTTTACATTTTTTGAACAATCTAATGTTCTGATGAGTAATTGGAATTTTATGGATCAAAATATTATTTATATATCGGCACCATTTCTTTATCATTGTAGAGCCTTATTTCAAGATATCAATTAGACCATCCTCTTAGTATAAATAAGGGTACTCATTGAAGTGTCGGTGAAGAAAAGGTAAATTTTCCTACATTTTTTTCTGGTCCTGTTCCAAACTATATAGTTGAATGCATATTTGGATTACTATGGATGACTATTTTTGCATCCTCCTCTCGCCTAAAAATAATACTGATAAACTGAAAATGACTGTTTTTCCCTCAGCTTTTGTCTGAGAAAAAAAACTACAAATTTTTTCATATTTCTGGTGAATATTCATATTTGTATTCCCAAACTTCCAAACAGCCAAACCATTATCAAACAATTTACCAGAAGATTTTACAGAAGGATCATAAATTCGATAATTATTCCAAATGAGATTCAACAATAGAATTCTTTATGAACCAGGATACAAATTTTCCAGAATATAATTTTTCATCTCACGATCTCCATTAGATAATCACATTCGTGACTTAACACTTATGAATCGACAAACAGCTATAAAAACAACAACTTCGCAAATCAAAATCATTTGGAACAATGAAGTGGTTTCCACCACTCGTTTGCTCTGTTCTATTTCTCAGCGGTCTCAGAGAAAATGTTGCTGATGACAAATCGGGAGAGGTGGTGTATCTAATCGGTTTGTTGTCTGATGCAAAACACAACGTAGATGGCAATAATGACATTGATTATAAGGACGGAGAGAAACCCAGTTGGGTCTTGAAAGATCGAATTCCATTCCAAGAAGCTGGGGATGACGTGTATTTTAGACCGGAAGATGGAAAACCTGTGAAAGAACCAAAGGTGAGTGATATTTTCTGTTTCATAAATCACGGAGAATTCCACTAGTGAATATTGGCCAAGAAATTTCAATGTAGAGTTTTGATCCATTACCTGATTGCCATTGGTGCTATTGTGGCCAAATAAATGTTTGTATTTGAACAAGTGAATGCAATTTCTTACTCATTTTTCACTGATTCGATTTTTCGTGTTGAGGGTGCTGATATTCTACAACCTTTCAACTTGTAAAACAATACTAATTCATCATTAGATCTCAAATATGGAGCCAGAACTGACGATTTTAAATTGAATCCAACTGAAAGTTTCTTGTACCACAATAATTACAACTTCTTTCTGACATTCATTAATAAATTCTATTATTTCTACTTTTCCAATAATGTTCAGAAAATTCCGAAGGAATCAAAGCAACTTAATTATAAACATCAGATTACATAGGAATGACACTTACTTACAATAAAACTTTTTTGTATTCAGTAAAATACCTCAATTTTTTTTAATTGATAATATGCATTATTGACTATGCAGTAATTATATGGGCACAGAAAGTCATTTTTGAAAAGTTTAGTTGAATTTCGGTTGAGGCAATTCTTCAATACTTTTCATATATAGATATATTGGAACATGAAACTTGTATTAGCGAGAGAAATATGTAACTGAAGGAAAGAAACATAATTATTTCTCAATTGTTGTTACTCATCTGATCAGTTGATATTTTTTGAAAAGTATATAATAATATATAATTATTTACAAATGTCGGGTACATATACGAGAAATTGTAATAAAATACATTATTTTAAAAAATATATAAAACGATAAGTGCAGGCTGCACTCGTTTCGTGAGGCAGAAGAATAATCTGTTCCAATATCGTCCATTTGAAATATACTAAGAACACACATGTGTACATATATGTGTACATATATTATTAGACATGAAGATACGGTCTTAGTATTGTTTGCTTGTAGTTATAAAATAATAGATTTGACAAAATGCGCACTCATACATACACATGATTTCTATAATGTGTAGAGATAAGTATTAAATGTACGTATAACAAACAGATAAATGATAATAACAAAATACATGTAATATACTAGTAGTAACTGAGATATTCTATCAAACACTTTTATTCAAGTAATTGTATTATGAAATTTATCTCAATTCCGATAATGTTAATTTTAGTGTTGACCAATTTTGAACATCATATATGAGAAAAATATATAATGATGATGTAGATAATGTACTAAAAGCTGGAAAATAATTCGGATGATCCCAGGTAGCAGTCATCGCACCATTCTCCTCAGCAATCTACGGTTTTCATCAGTTAAAAAAATAATAAAATCGTTGGGCGTAGCGGAACCTTAGTTAAAATGAGGATCATACGCCCAAGGATTTAATCATTTTTTGCTACGTAGGACCTTCTGAAATCTTTTTGTTCTTAGTACATCATCTACATCATTATCATCTTTTTTTCAATAAAACCGTTCAACAAAAACAATTTTTTCACTCACTTCATTTCCAAGTTGTCAGTTTCTAATTTTGTTACTGTATTCTTCTCATTCTGTTTAGTTCATTTAGTAGGTACCTTAGTATTATAGGGTAATACGTAATACGTCATTTTATAGCTGCGGCCATCTTGAATTTGCACCTTTTTTAAAATGTACTACTATTCTACTAGTCAAACTTTGTCATTCGATACCCACATTGAGGTATAGTTGTGAAACAATATATATTCCACCATTTCGTAGAAACGGTCGTCGTGGATTTACAATGATACAAGACTTATTGAACTGTATTGTTTTCAAAATCTGATGTGTGCACCAAATATCAGATCAATCTATTAACAGGAAGGGGGTCAAACAGTTAATGAATTCGATTCAAACAAGCAAAAAAATAGGGAAAGCTAAATGCAACTGTTTAATAAAATGAGCGAGAGGAATTCTTTATGTTGAACGGTTTTATAGAAAAAACATAAAATGATAATGATGTGGATAATGTACTAAAAACTGAAAAAATAATACGGAAAGTTCTAGGTAGCAGTCATCACACTACTCTCCTCAGCAATCAACAATATAAATCAGATTTAAAAATAATGAAATCGTTGGGCGTAGCGTAACCTGACCAACGATTTTATTATTTTTCCATCTGATCAATACCGTAGATTGCTGAGAAGAGTGGTGTGATGACTACTAACAAGAATTTTTCGAATTATTTTTCAGTTTTTAGCACATTATCTACATGATTCTTACCTTTTTCATTCAATAAAACTGTTTGAAATTATTAGTTTTACTTATTTTAGTTTCAAGTTTTGATTTTCTAATTTCGTCACTCAATTGTTCCCATTCTGCTCAGTTCATTCAGTGTCTCAGTATTACAAGGTAATATGTAATCTACCATTTTGTAGCTGCGGCCATCTTGAATCTGCATCTCCCTGTCATTTCATCCCCATATTGAGCATATTGAGGTAATTGTAAAAAAATATGTAATCTGCCATTTTGTAGTTGCGACCATCTTTAATTTACAGTGATACAAAATTCATTGAATTGTATTGTCATCAAAACTATTTTCAAATTTCAGATGAATCTATGAACAGCAAGGGGGACCGTTATAGGACCGTTATAGGAATAGGACCGTTGAATAGCATAACGTTGAACTGAAAAGTTCGTAGGCTAAAATAGAAAAAAAAATGATTTTATTATTGAATATAGCTGCCTTCTTGTCGATACAACGATTATAGCGGTCATTCAATTTTTCGATACCATTTTTATTGTACGATTAGTCTTTAGTTTCAAAATTAGCACCAGTTTCGACGATTGCCTTTCCACTGTCGCCAGCGGGCCCTCTCTTGAAGTCTGAGAAGAAAAAAAAGTCGCTGGGGCCAGATCTGGAGAATACGGTGGATGCGACAGTAATTCGAAGCCCAATTCCTACAATTTCAAAATTATTTCCATTGATTCATGACACAATACATTGTCACGATGAAACAGCACTTTTTTTCTTCGAATGTTGCCGTTATTTCTCCATTTTGTCCTTCAAACACCCTTATAACGCTATGTAATAATAGCTGTTGATGGTTCTTTCCGTTTCAAGATTGTTGATAGAAAATATACCATGCGCACCGCAAAATAATGATACCAGAGCCTTGCCAGCCTGTGGCCTCTTTGGAGTAGACTGAACTACGTGCAGTCTACTCAGATGACGATTGTTCTGATTCTTGTGTGAAGTTATTGAGCCATGTTTCATCCATCGTCACATATCGGCGAATGACTTTGGGTTTTTTTATGTTGGAACAAACATTGTTGTTTTTGGTCAGTTGTGAATTCACGAGGCACCCAGAGCTTTCGCATACTCAAATATTTAAGAACAATATATCCAGCACGTTCCTTTGATATCTTTAGAGCCTTCACTTTGCTGTCATTCAAAATTATTTTGTGGACTTTCATGATGATATCGTGGGTGAAAGCCTCTTTGGGAAGTCCACTGCGTGCATAGTCCTCGGTGCTCATTTCGCCTAGTTCAAACCTAGCAAACCACTTCTCAACGTTTGAATTTCCTGTTCATCAAGCCAAGCCGCGGCTTCAACAGTATTTTTTCCTAAAAAAATCAATGCTTCATTATTGATTTCAGTAATTTTGCCCCGATTCTATCTTCAACGGGTGTTTTAATATTTTTCAGACTTTTAATGACCGCCTTGATTAGGAAGGAAGTCGCGTAATATTTTATTATGTGATTCTTTCATTAAATTATTTTCTGGTCAAATGTTCACCCAACCCCTGGAATTTTTGAATTCATTAGGCATATCTTTGTCGTCTGTTATCCACTTTCATAAGTAGTTAAACGAAATTTGTTTCTTGACAATATCAATTGAATGAAATTATTTATGATACGGAAACCCATTCAGAAATAATTTAGAACAGAAGCAGTATATCGAACATGTTTTTCACTATATTCTATTTTTTTATAGAAATTAGTGGTTCTTCCTCCAAAATTGCTTGTGCGCAAGAGGCGATATCTATCGAAAGGATTACTGACTGGAGGACCTGGAGGTGGTTATGGAGGAGGTTTCGGAGGTGGTGGAGGAGGTGGTGGCGGAGGAGGATTCGGCGGTGGTTTTGGCGGTGGTTTCGGAGGAGGTGGTGGTAAAGGAGGCGGTTTTGGCGGAGGTGGCGGCGGCGGCGGCAAAGGAGATGGTTTTGGCGGAGGTGGTCATGGCGGAGGTGGTTCAGGAGGCGGCGGATTTGGAGGAGGTGAATATTATATTTTCATTCATTCTACTCAAATCGAAAACCAACTCTGATATAAAAAAATCAAATAGCTGAAATCATATTTATAACCAAACAAGTAATTTCTAAAAGATTACGAAGAAACTCATATATCTCTACCAAATGATAAAATATGATACAGAGCAGTTTTTTTCTGTATCACTCATGCACAAATTTGATATCTCTCAAGAATATAGGTAAAGGTATTTTCGTTGTAAAATTAAAAACTTTCTGTTCCTGAATATAATAATAGATAAGCAGGGATGGCCACTAACACCCTTGGCCTTTGGTGAGTTGCGACACCACTTACCCGAGCAACTGGTGCAAAACCGGACCGGCAGCCCAATGGCGCGCCCTCCCGAATGTATCGGGGCTTCGGGGGATAGGGCCTGACCAGCGCACACTACGGTGAAAAAAAAAATAATAGGTCTTCATTCCCAGAATGATACAAAAAATAAATGTGAACCTTTACTGAAACGGGAATGGCTGAAGATCAGTTGGTTGCATCGAAAGATGCAACTTTGAAACTTCAAACATTTCCAACAAGAAACATCAGCAGTTCAAAAATAATAATAAATTGTTCATTCATTGTCGTACAGTTTCCGACTGTCTGAGTAAAATTATTCATTCGATCTGTCTACAATTCATTGTTCATTTTTCAGCAATTCCAAATCAAGTTTTTCTGGGTATATAACCTTTCATAATTTGAAAAATAAACGAAGTTCATTGCGTAATTTCAATGTGAAAATTTAATGTGTAATATGAACCTCCAGTAATATTTAAATAGATAAGTACTATTTTGATCATTTCCATATTGATTTCAATTTGAGTGCTACCGGAAAACAACTTTTGGGCATCGTCAGTACCAGGCAGGTGGTCCTCAATTGAAGACAAAATGTGACTGATCAAGAAAAGTACTTGATGAAAATAACTGCGTAATCGTAAGCGAGACATAAGTAGAACTTCCTAGAGGTGTGACACCCAAGTCGACTTGCCAAGTTTTTATGACAGTGTTGGTGGTTTGACCAATCAACCGACAACTGCGCTAGCAGAAATTCGGGACGTTTTCTTAGAAAGCCATCGAAAAACGATTCTATATGTTTATAAAAATGATATGGAATCGAGAAAGGTTAATGCAGTCAATCTGCTGGAAAATAATAATAGATGAGTACTATTCTGATCATTCCCATATTGATTTCAATTCAAGAGTCACCGGTAGTACCTGCGTAACATCTATCAACTGAAACCATGAATATGTTCACCTATTGAGTTTTCTTATAAATATATACCTAACCTTGAAAATTTATCTTCAAATATCATGAAATTTTCTCAAAATGAACAAAATATCAAGATATGGCCAAAAAAACATCGAAACTATGAAGAATTTAAATAAAACGGATACTACAGAAGAGTCAAATGTGATTTATAACATTCCTTGTAATTGTAACAACATCTAAAATTCTTTGTTTGAAGGTGGTTGACAATGTTTCATGATGAATATCATCTGTTCGGACTTCCAATGTCTAATATAATAAAAATTGATTTGAAATCTATGAAAAAAGATTAACCGAAAAAATAACAATTTTATTAAACAAAAAAATTACAAAGAAATAACATACGAGCAACAATCAAAAAAATAAAAATTTTAAATAATAATACAAGCGGAAAATTAAAA